AGCCTAGGTCAGAACAACCAGAAAAATAATGACAATGTATCATTCATTCATGCAGCAATGTTGACAGACTCTACTTACCAAGGAAAATGGCTGGACATGGAATATTGCAACTACTTCAGATGAATAAAGAGGAAAAAAGGGCAGGGGGGAAAATAGGCCAAATCAAACCTAAGCATCAGGCTGGCTTTGCAACGAACCATGATGATGATAATAATGATAATTTCAAACAAGCTATCTGAAAGATCTCTTTTTACATTTTTATGTAGCAAATATCAGTTACATTAATTTCCAGTTTACAAAGCAGCAATGGCCCTTTAGCACCTTTGCAATTTTATGCTACATTTAGTGTAATTAACTTCACATTATATGTGATTAAATGCTGTGATCCTGTTACAAAATTGTGGCACCATGAGACATTTATACAGAGAGGGGCTATAGAGCTTGTCTCCCATTTCAAGAAATTAACACACCAGTCTTAATTATTTGTAGAAGAAACTTATTAGAGGAAGTCTCATTTTCTGAATGACATTTGCAGGGCCTACATACTTCAACTTTCCAAAAAGCAGCCTTAAATCAATGAGATAGTAATATTGGAATCCTTTCAATGTTGCCATGTTCTTATATTCATTTAAAATAGTCCTTTAATCGAACCCCATGTACATTCTTACTCCTGCATTGTCTCTTTTGTTTCCTTAATCTCTTCTACTACTTGGCAAGAGATAACAAATTAGGGATTGATAAAATGTAACTGGGGGAAATCTAATTATTATGGAGTGGTCGTAGTGGGTTTTTTTTGTTTGTTTTTTTTGTTTTTTTTTGCTTGAATGATATAACTTCAGGATTTGTTTCTAACAAAACACTTTCTTATCACAGCCTTTGTATGCAAGAAGCCATCCCTTTGACCTTTCGCTCCTGCATTATGCCTAAAGACTGTCAAACATCAGGCTGGTCTTCCTGGAGCTCCTGTTCAAAGACTTGTTACTCAGGGGATCTCTCACCAGGATTCCGCAGCAGAAGAAGGATTATAAAGCACGAAGCTCTTGGAGCTGGCAGGGAATGTCCTGAAACAGAAGAAAGAGAAGCCTGCAATACTGATGGTGGTGAAAAACAGCTTCAGCCTTGCCCAAGGTATACTATACCTTTGCATTTCTCATGTTTCACCAGAGTTGATCTTCAGGTGCCTCTAGTGCAGTGATGGCCAAC